TGAAATAGTGTATGTACGTATTGTATCTAAGTATTATGATGATATCTTAATTTTTGAGTTCTTTATAAAAAGAATACATTAATAATATAATAATATACAGGAATTACCATCTTTCATTGTCGACAACTTGAAAACATCTAAATTTAATTTATCAAAATAATGCAGTAAGGTAGTAATTAATGAGTGTGGGTCAAAATCGGGAACGAGAAACTTTTACAGACAATTGCAGGTTGAAGTGTTGTTAATGTGAATCCAATTACAAAACCGAATCCCCGAATCCAATATTAACAAATTGTATTAATAAGTTAGATGACTTTATTCGTAGGAAAACATAAACATATATTGAAAATGAATTACTGTACAGTGTACCCGTATATACATGAAAGTCTATTTTAAATGCAATCAAGATTCGTTTTTATTCTATGAATAATGATTATCAGAGATTCAACAAAAATTATATATAAAGTAAGGATAGCATAAATTTTTACTACCGTTATTGGGAAACAATAGTCAAGCGACTTTAAGCGTACTCTTATGATTACTTATTTGAATAATTGCTTTAATACCGTAGCAATATAACGTTGCGCCATGAAATAGATTTTTAATTTTCTATTGTACAACGTGATTCATTTCTTTTTTGGTATTTTAATGTAGAAAATAAATAATCTCATACAGTAAATATGAAAAATATACTATCGTATTAAGTAGTGAAATGGAATTTCGAAACGATTTTACTCTGAACGCCTATAGCATATATTTCTGAGCGAATTATAAATAAGTTTGTTAATCTAACCTGCAAGTTGAGATTTTTCCCTATCACCTCATATGTAATTGGGCAACGTTATTTTCCATATTCACCGAATGAACAGTTGCTTTTTTTCGTAAAAACGAAAGGAATCGTATTGTATTATCGATCTTCAATTTGGTCTTCTATACTCCAGCACATTGCAAATTTTCTTTTTTATCTGTCTTCCGTTAATTAATTTAAAGTTGTTTATGGTCATGAATCGATACCATCTCTTCATTAGACGCATTTTATCGAGTGTAAATTGCATAGCAAGGAATATACTTATGTATTTCTACATTTATGATACCGATACCTCAAAAGTACCATTTCATAGATGCCGAAAGTTTACGCGCATACGTTGTTCTTCTCAGTACATGTACTGTTATACAAATTGAAAGGCCAACTAAGTATAAAGGATACACTATACGTACATATTTAATTGCAGAATCTTTACAAAATACCAAGAATGTTGTATTATCAAATAGAATTACGCTTGGAAAAGATAAAACTGACATGGGCTTTAGTTGATAAATGATTTGTAGCCTTCGATGTTATTATTTCGCCGCAATTGTCATTTTATTCTTTAATCTCGTAAAAGACAATTTTGAATTAGATCCTAGAGAAACTCAAGCAGTAGTGAATGGTGTAAATGAAAATCAAGTTTTATAGACTAGCTTTTGAAAGCGAAAAGTGAAGCTTGAAAAAAAATGATTACTTTTTTATGAGTGAATTCCTGATAATTGAGCCATTCTCAGGGTATTTCATATAATACGAAGACGCTGCTACTGCACTTTACATGAAACTATACTGCAATAGTGGGGAATATCGACACTTATCTAATAGAAAGTAATCATTTAAATTGTCCATGGTTATTATACTCTGCTGCTACTTTCATGTACTGTTGCAAGATCTATGTTTACGTAAACAATTATGACAATCATGTTGTACTGCAAGAATTTTTCAATTCAAATAACTCTGGATTACTAAAGAATCAGGAACCGGGTATTGTATTAACCAATAGGCTCGGAAAAGTTCCAAAATTCACTTCTCTGATAGTGCATAAAAGTTGTCAGGCATTCCTGTAGAGTGCTGTATGTTGAGACAACAGTGTAAAGATAATTAATGAAAATTTCCTAACTAATGGATGACATCAGTAATTGGAATTTTGTTTTGATGTGGTTTAGAAATATCCAATAACTATTAAAATTCAGTATTGTGTTGTTGATAATAGAGTTTTTGCCTAAAAAAATCATTTGATATTTCTTCAAAGGATCAAGTACAATTTTAAAAATATACGCATACGTATAGAATAATCGTTTATGAGAACTTCTCCTTAATCATTGTGCTAAGAGATTAGCAACTTGACTTTTGAAAGTTTACAGAACAACTTTGCGTTATTTATTCTGTGGACTTAATTGATACACCGAGTTCAGAATATTCGACAAAAACACCTGAAGTATGAGTACAAGTACCGTTGAAAAACGCAAGTTATGTACAGGAAAATTTTGATAGCCTTCTGCTCCAATTTGTGCAATTTTTTGAAATTTTCTTTAAAACTAAAATTATGTGCAAGATTTATTCACTTTACGCAATTTACATCCATTCGACTGGCTTGAATAAATGAGTTCAATTATAATGGTCGATACGGTAGAATTATTTACTCTCTCATTCTTTATTATTATATAACGTACAACACCTATGCATAGATGATTGAGAATGGCTGTTCTGGCAAAATTCTTTTTCTATTGATGGCAAAGGATACTAACTACTGTACGTATACTAAGATAGTTGTGATATTTCTCGGGCTATTATGACTGCCAGGTGCTAATACCAGATCGAATAGGCCAATTTTTGTATTTCAGTCCATTCCCAAATGTATTATTACTGCTCCCAACCTACTGTACAATAAGAACAATTTAATAAATGAAAAAATAGCTGTGATACGCCGATCGATCACTACTCCGATACAATTCACTACTACTGTGTATAAGCTGGTCAATATCATTTTAGTCAAAGTTTGCGACCACTCCACACCAAAAATTCCGTATAACAAATTGAAATTTAGAATCGATTTGTATCTCCAGTCTGTGTATCATCAATGCGAGTATACTGTAGTAGAGTAGTAGGATTTTGCAGTTGTGGCTATTGATGACGCTTTGGTTTCACAGGAAGATCCTTTGAAAAATATTATTACAGTAAACAGTGATAGTTATTGTATTCAAATAGAAGTCTTTCTACACAAGTTGATCAAAGATCTGGTTTTGATTTGAATAGGGGAGTGGAGGTTGACATTTTTTTTCACTCAATAACAAGAATCATTTTGATTAAAACAAGAAGCCATTCATGTTGTCAAGACCTGGTTTTGATTTGATACGGGAAGGAGGGTTGAGGGATAACATTTGTACGACTTTATGGTATTCCCATTTTTCTTCAAGCTACACAGCTCTTGCCCTTCACGAAGAATCTTCCAACAATTGATTGAATACCATTTGCTACCCAACTGCTAACCCATTGCCTCAGTAACCGAGAGAAATTGCTATCCAACTGCTAACCGATTGCCTCAGTAACCGAGTAAAATTGCTACCCAACTGCTAACCGAGTGAAATTGCTACCTAACTGCTAACCCATTGCCTCGGTAACCGAGAGAAATTGCTATCCAACTGCTAACCGATTGCATTATATTGAAATTGCTACCCAACTGCTAACCGAGTGAAATTGCTACCTAACTGCTAACCCATTGCCTCGGTATCCGAGTGAAATTGCTATCCAACTGCTAACCAATTGCCTCGGTAACCGAGAGAAATTGCTACCTAACTGCTAACCCATTGCCTCGGTAACCGAGAGAAATTGCTAGCCAATTGCCTTAGTAACCGAGAGAAATTGCTATCCAACTGCTAACCGATTGCATTATATTGAAATTGCTACCCAACTGCTAACCGAGTGAAATTGCTACCTAACTGCTAACCCATTGCCTCGGTATCCGAGTGAAATTGCTATCCAACTGCTAACCAATTGCCTCGGTAACCGAGAGAAATTGCTACCTAACTGCTAACCCATTGCCTTAGTAACCGAGAGAAATTGCTACCCAACTGCTAACCCATTGCCTCAGTAACCGAGAGAACTTACTAGGAGCCTTTCAATCGTTTAGGCAAGGTATTCTAAGCGTATTGTAGTCTTCAGGTTGACTCTTCCGAAACGCCCACGATGTCACACTACATATCGTTTGAAACTTTGGACGGGTCATCTCAGTCACGTTGACGCTCGACTGTACGGTGTACTGTCCAAGATTGACGCGCGACTGCATGACACATGTGCCAAGATGACTGTTCATTCGTCATTTCGGTAACCTAAGAAACGCCTGCAACTTCATTAAGAAAAAGGAGAGGAAAAAAATTGAATTGTATCCTATCATTTTCTTCCCCAACATTTTAAATTGTACTGAGTTGAAGCTGTGTAAGAATCTTTTCTCCGGTATTGACGGACGTAGAAGGCAAATGAATGTTGATCGGAAATACTTTGAACATGGGTCATGACAAAGTAGCGGCTAGAAAGAGTAAGATTGTAGTTTTCTTCCAATGTCGATGGTCTTACCCAAATTGACTGATTCAATATTAGCAACACATTTCAAAGAAGAAGAAGAAGAAGAAGAAATACCTATCATCACCGGGTCTATTTTAATCGATTGATCATTTGGTAATACTGTACATTCAGTCAGTAATCAACAACTGCCTCGAGGTAACAATATAGACCCGACACAAAGAATCCAAAAGCTATAAAAAGGATCCATCTCCCTGACCTGATAATAATTACAATTAACATCGGTGATAATTACTGGCAATTATTATCGATATATTTTCATTTATCCTTTGTTCTATCCTTCTACTTGATTACTATCGATGGAATAATCATTGTAAACTATCAGTATTGCCATATTCTAACCATTACCGTCGTATTGGATTCAATCGTTCGTGAGGAGACAGTATAGAAAATTTTTTTCTACCTTGATAGAGATTTAAAAGGAATATATCATCGACCATTAACTTGGGCATAAGTCCTATCGTTATTTCCGTCAAAGTCATTATTCAAAGACATTCTCAATATGATATTATCGACCTCAGTCACAATTGTTATCTACCGAATGATCAAGATGATAATAATTAAAATTGAATACTAGTATCAACTGATGTGCATTACCCTTGGTACTAATTGAAAAATGTCACAAACCCAGTGGTTCAATGATGTTCCAACAAATGGATACTATACCTTGGTGACAGTAAATTCCACCACTTGTTCTACGACGACAACAGTATTTGCCAATGATACGAGGATATCAGCATCGATTGCTGATATCAGATTAATGAACTACGATAATCAACTCAATTCAATACTTGTATTACCATCATTAGCTTTGCAACAAAGTGAAAGTAACCAAAAAATCACCGATAAGAATCAGAACATGGTTACTCCACAACTTAGTTGTACTGAAGGCAGGGTTGGAAAAAATCTTCATTATCATAGTAACTGTCATCGTAGTCAATGGAGTACAACAAATAGTAAACAGTTATTACATGACCATGTTATAATCCATCCATTATCAAACCAACGTTTTCAAATCAACAGTAACATTAATCATCATCACCTCAACAAAGATTGCATGGATAATATCCAGGGAGATCAACTGGCATTGCGTAGTACAACAAATGATGATCAGTTTGATTATTTATCCTATTTTAGTCATGAAAAAGGTAGCGATCATACTATGCGGCCATTTCCTTATCCCCATTCACATAATTATGAAAGGAATCGAGATAATAATGATGACGATGATAAAAAAAGCAAATTAGGTGACGAACTGATCAATTTTAAATTAGAGTTGGAAACATTGCAGTATCAAGCCGTACATTCGACGATCAAGCTTCATCCTATTGATACAAGGACATCGATAGATACATTAACAAGTCCAAATTCACATGATTCATCATCAGTAGTAGCATGGACTGTAAGTTGCTATAACAGAATACCGAGTATTATTCGTTATTTTAAGACAGTCGACCTTGTATCATTGCTTAAATACTCGTACATAAGAGTAGTCAAATTGGTACATTTATTTATTGTAAGTTATATCCAGTGCTGCTAGTTAAATGACTTTTATTTCTTTTCTTGCTATATCTTGACGTTCTCTATTGAATGCATGCTTATTGTGGATATGCATTATCTTTCACAGTCTTTAAATGTTCAAAATTTTATCGAATATTTACCAGCCACATTGTCAACCACTGTAACTCGAAGTGAAAATATTATCCAACTTTTTCGTATGTCAACAAGTTATTCCATCGAGTGGTTTTATACTCTTATAAGCCTCATGTCAATCAGAGTCATAGGTTTCGATAAAGCGGACTCATTCCTGACTTTACCAAATTCAGTAATGACGTTAAAATAAGATTTTCTTGCATGCCTTCTCTCATTTTTTGCTGATACGTGATACGCACAATATTGCATTCATAAAAAAGAGTATTTTGGGGTTGAATAAAGTGAAATAAGCGTGTAATTGTTACATACAAGTATTCTAAAAAAAATTTTAAACAACTTTTGTTCGTATCCTTTATTTTTAAAGGAAGCCCTTCTCGCTTTGATCAACATCTACAGTACGTAGCTTGCACTATTTGTAGTTAATAAGCATTGATTGTTGTTTCTCTACAGAGTAAACGATTATTTGATGACCGTGAGAGGTTATTGCTCCAGAAGAATACTGAATTAAATTCTAATGTAAGCCATTTAGAAAGTCGATGTGAATATTTAGCCAAAGAAATGTCATCCTTGGTAAGTTGTAATCAAGTAAATACACCTTACAGCAGCTTGTTATTCCAATTTAGGATAGATTGAAATGTTATACGTATGCTATGGAACAACCGGACAATGTACACAAGATTGATTAATTAATAAAGTAAATCTCGATGATCTTATCTCTTCTTACAGAAGCGACAGCTTGGATCATCAAATCACAATCGTCAAAATTACTTGGAAGACAAACTAGCTAGGCTAAAAATACGTAACTCAAAACTGGTTCAAATTGCGAATGATTTACAAGAAACAATTTCTAAAAATGGAGATGACGGCTACTTTCAGCAATGCATGCAACTGAAAGAAGAACTAAAGAAGAAAGACGATGAGATAAACAAATTAAGGGTTAATCAACCTGCTAATGGACCAGAAGTAGGTTCTAGCAATATTCACCAAGGGAGTAAAAATATAGTAAGTGATATGTACAGTATTGAAAAAATTAATATTTATAATTGTAAGGCAAAAATAATTATCGATGTAGTTGCGTAAGAATTTACTATCTGAAATACCATAGTCCTAGATCATAGCCCTAAATATATCTAGTAAAATTTGTATATCACGATAGCATATTGTATTATTGTTAGTGGAAGTATATAAGTACAAGTTGCGTAATAAAACGAACCAATTTGTAAGCCACTCTCGGAGTAACTAATGTTTAAAATAATAATATAGATACGTAACAGTAAGTGCTAAAATAATTTGCCTGCATACCTTACATGTATATTGCAGATGGGGTGCAATATCGCATACCAAATTCATTAAAAGTATTCAAAAAGAATATCTTAAATTTCATACATAGCAGCAGTCTGGTCGCAGTATTGAGGAACTTGAAACGATTATACGTCAACTCACTAAAGAAAAACTTCAATTACAAAAACATATGACAGAATCTCCTGGAGTAAGAATTTATATTTCTCCTAATTATTGAAAAATAATTTTGAAATAAAAGTAGATAGTACAGTACACCGTATCTTCCCTTGATTTATAAGTTACATAACCGTACTCATTACCTTTACTCTATTTAATAAATAATATCCTATTGGTTTTCTAGAATTTAGCGCGCGTCGCAGAATTAGAAGAGAAATCTAGCAAATACGAAGCACTCCTATTAACAAATGAAATGTTAAAATCAGAAATCAAGCGACTTGAGGAAACCAAGCCTCCAGCTACGGTTGGTTAAAGAACTCGTTGAATCTTGCTTGCACGGTCTCTTTTTGACGACTCACTTTAACTTTCATGATATAGGATGAGCAACTTTTACAAAAATTAAAATCATATGAAGAGCTTGAAAGAAAACATTCCGCTTTGGTATGCAGTGTACAATGATGGAGTAGTAGTGTTTGAATCGGATGATAGATTACTATACTGTAGTATAGCATACTGTATGCCTATTTGAAATGAATAAAATATTCAGAGCATTAATTTCATGAAGTTAATTACAGCAAAAATTTTTAATCTAAACAGGAGAATGACATGGTCCAGTTAAAAAGTGAAAGTGAGCAGATCAAATTAGAAAATGCTTCACTGAATCGAAATGTAGCGGAATTACAGAAAGTACGTATAGTAATATTTGAAAGTTGTCAAATCTTAACAAAGTCTTAGATTTTTTTTAACTAAGCGTATACAGTAGTAACATGTAATGTAAATTTCATTAGGTTGAAATGCGATGCGAGAAATTACGGCAAGACTTGAAAAAGAGTTTGGATGATTGTGATAAATCAAGAAGTGAATGTATTGCTTTAAAGCGACGAATTTCAGAATTAGAGATTTCTATAGCGGTATTAGATACCTTAATTTGTCTTGTGAATTTTACATACGCGTATGTAACACATTACCATAATTATTAGACTACAATGGGTTTTATATCTGGATAGGGCTTATCGTTAACGGCAAATCAGAAAAAGCAGCTAGAAAATGATTACAATATTACAAAACTTAAATTAAATGAAAGACAACAAGAAATGCAAAAATTACACATGGTATTATTGTTTCCATGATTTAGCATAATCTAAAGTGAGGTATCAATGCTTGCAATTGCTGAAATTAAAATTTCTTTACCTGTTTTGTAGAACCAGCTGCAAGATAGAGATAGATATCGAGAAGAAATCAGCAAATTGGAGGTATAACGGAAGTATTCTAATGTAAATTACACATGTGTATGGTGCATTTGCCTGTGTACAATAAATCTTTAGGAAATAGTGTGATAGGACAAGGGTACATTTCCTACTTACATTAGGTAAATTTTATTTTGTATTTATTTTAGAATCAATTAAGAAGTCTTCGAGATAAAAATGAGCTTAGTGAACGCCGATGTAAACGGCTTTCAAAGGAATTACAACATTATCACAAGAATGGATTAATTATGGAAAATAGCAATCAACTCAACGGGGCAAATTCTGACTACGTCAGTCTTCAAGACAAGGTACGTATGATAATTATCATTCTAACTTCCTAACTACGTATCTATATAGACGTATATATGTATATCTACATAAATATTTATAGAATTACTTGGTGATCTAAGCAATTTTTACACGTTTAACTGTAATACCAGATTAAAGGTTTAGCTGCAAGTAGCGATGACGATGATTTATTCGATCGCCATTACCGAAGGAGACGTTCATACTATTATAATGATATATTTGCAACAGATAGTTCATCTGACGGTAATTAAAGGCCCTTAACCATTAAACAATAGATGCATCTTTAATTGTACTACACGTATAAATTTTTTGAATTTGGTGACAAGAAAATTTCTGTTTGGTTAGAAACTTACGGTAGCCGAAGAAAGTCTAGGCAGAAAAACGGGCCACGGCAACAAACCTTACCCAAACTTCCCGCAATTGAAGATTCAGGTAATTAAGTTTTAATTTTACGTATATTTATTCTAATAGAAGAAATCTAAATTAAATATTGGGTTCGAATAATTATAAACGTTATGTATTTCGACAGACGCTTATGCAATGGCGGACCTTTCAGTTTTCGTGGCGAAATACGATTATAATCCTATGGAGACGTCACCAAATAAGCAACCTGAGTTTGAATTACCGTTTAAGGCTAATGAATATGTAATTGCTTATGGTAACACGAATATAGTAAGTACAGTTATGAACTATTACGTCATTAAAAATAGGGCATTAAAAAAGTTTCAATCTTTTCAATACTATATTTAGAGCGGTTATTATAACGCTGAATTACTAAGTGGTAGACGTGGTTTAGCACCTTCGAATTATCTAAGGAGAGTCACAGGTTAGACTTGAATATACGTACACTCGATATGAGCAAATTTACTTATTTTTGGAATAGAATTATATTCCCGAATGTATGATGAAATATATTACGTGTAACTGACAGATATGAATGAAATAAACCGAATTTTAAAAACAAAGAGACTACGTACTGATAATTTGGATGTTCCAGATATTGATATCAGTCGCAGGCTCATAACAGGTATTCTTTGCTTACATTTCAAAACCACTTAATATTGTTTGATGTATTACATATTATATATATATATATTATATGATATTGCTGTTAACTATTTATTTCTTAATCTCTATGCCCTACTTGCGCTTATATAACCTATATCACAGCGGGATCAACATATGGTACTGGGCTTGAAGCACTCAGTGAAACTAATTCATCGCTTGTATCAATAAACAATCCTGAAAATAAGTTAGACCAATTACAAACTGGTGATCCAGCTATAGGTTTGTGATGTAGTTAGATAGAAATATTTCTTTAAGTAAAAAGGTGCAAAAAATTTAAGCGTCAGCGTATGCCTAAGTGATAAGTATAATGACATTTATATTACGTACTTTCGTTTCAGCTTCTCCAATAAACGTTAGGATTGAGCGCCATTTTATAGATAGTGTACTTCTTCGATGGCAAGCTGCTGATTTGCCACCAGATAAAGTTACTGCATATGCGGTTTATGTTAATGGGTCGTTACGATCAGAAATCAACAAAAATGAGAAAATGAAGGCCCTAGTTGGAGGACTCGATAATAATCATGTACATCCTTTTACCATTCTTATAAAATTTTCTCTTATTTATCTAAGACATACTAATAGTTTTCAGCCAGATACAATATCCTATGTAGGAGTAGTTCCGATCGTACAGCAATAAACTTAATAGGCTAGTGTATTATTCGTAATTCATAAGAGGGATACATTTATCTACACTATTTAGCATTTTGGCGGCAGATATTACTGTATGCAATAGTCTTATTTGAATTATGACGAATGATTTTTTGGCTAGTGTTGACTGATGTACCGCACTATTGCTCATTATATTATTAATTCTTCAAATTTTATGTTCATAATTCGATTAAATAATCGTTTGTTGATATTACATTTTAAAGTAGCACCACAATTGTAACGATAATATTTAACTATTATTTTGTATTAACTCTTAATTAGGTTACAAGGTTATCAGTCCGAACAATAACCCCTATTGGTCATTCTTCAGACGCTCAGGCTACGGTATTAATAGGAAAAGGTAAGGGTGAATATTTTATACGCGTAAATCTTTAACTATTATTATCACTTATGTGTTATTCTTAATTGTATTTTGGGACTTCCTATTATTACATTATGCATATCTATAGATTTGTCGATCGCTCCTTCGCAAATAAAAGTTTTATCGTACTCGGCCACAACCGCAGTAATTGCTTGGATGCCAAGTGATAGTAACTTTTCACATACAATCTTTGTCAACAATGATAAATTTCAACAAGTGCCGCCTGGTACTAATCAATGCAATCTGACCGGCTTGGAACCTACTAGTACTGTTACTGTTAAGATAATGGCAACTGGCCAATTACCAGATGAGCACGCCAAAATGTATAACTTGGATAAAATTACATATTCTGAAATTCAATTTCAAACTGATCAACAAGGTAGTCAATAAATGTTTAAGTTATTTAGTCCTGATGCTAGCTATTGTTCCAGTACGATACATACAGTTAACATTGACATCCTACAATGTAGTTTTATATTGTAAATTTATTACCTTCAGGCATTCCGGATAGCCCAGCTAGCGTCAGATTGGATACTGGAAGCGAAAAAGGATCATTATATATTACATGGTTACCCGTGACAATAAGTGCTAATGGAAAATCGAACGGTACATTGGTTACCGGTTACACTATTTACATTAATGGCAGAAAGATTTTAACTACGCCGGATCCTACTGCTGATTATTTAGAGATTAGTCCAAAAGTCGTCGAATCGATACTACATGGGTCTTCACCATACTCAGTCACAGTACGTACACAATCGATTCGGGGAGAGTCGCGATCGTCAGCTGAAACTATCATAAGTAATGAGTTAATCAATACTTTAATGTCTGATTTAAAAGTTCGCTACAATGGTGAAAAAGAACTTCTGTCACCGTTGTCTGATAAAAGTAGGTCGCGTTCTAACGAAAAAGGTGAAATAGGTTTTCAACAATTGAATAATCGTCCAGATAGATCATCAACTAGTATCAGTGGAAAAGGTGATAGGAGCCCTCGTGCATCTATGGATTCTATCACAAATGCAAAATGGAAAGAAACAACTGCACGAGTGTTAAAATTATTGAGTCATAATAAAACTGAACGTAAATACAGCGATGATATCTCGGATTTAAGAAAGACGAAATTAGAGGATGACGTCAATAGGAGGAGATCGATTGCCTCAGCTAATGTTACTGCATCGGTACTAGCTAAAATTTGGCAAAAGCGAGCAGCAGCAAAAAAGAATGAATCATCTTCGCCGCTATGGGTGAATACTAGCACCCACTCAGGAAAAGATGACAAGTCGATGTCCAAGTTTAAGACTACACCTAATAATAAATTTAATGATATTCGTGAGAAAATTTATCAAGTAAAAATATTTCAAGATGGTCGTACAAAGTCAAAATTTAACGAAGGCAAAGATAGACAAGACATTAATGCTGACGATCACCATGGTATTAGCGATTTGTTGCCAGTAAAGAATAGTGATTCTCGTCGTCATTCATCGTATATCGATACTAATGGGCTTAATAATACCATGGAGATACGTAAGGCCCATTATAATCGTCGTTTTTCCGCAGGAACGACGGAAAATACTGACCAATCAATTGATGCGGGTAAATCATCATTAGGCATGGCTATGAAATATCTGAAAAAGCAAAATCATGAATATCAAAAGAAATCACCTACAACGGAAATACCACTAGAGAATAGTACGGAAGGAGATACCAGTTCCTATCTGGTCGCCAACACTGGCCCTAGCCGGTCAAAAAAGACCAAAACAGTCACTGGCAATATGCAAGGTGGTTCAGATTCAGATCTTGAATCTCAAAGTGAATCTGATGAACGTCATGTCGAACTATTTAAGCCTATCGAAGCACCACCTGGTAATTCTAGCAATCTAGTGGCGCCAAAGCCCGTTAAACCAACACCTTGCGTGACACCAATTATTCAAAGTGAGAACGATGATGAATCATCAACACATGAAAGCCAGCTTGGGTTAGCAAACCGTGAAGCTATTAATATAACAGGTTCGAAAGTTGTTAAAGGAAAAGAAACATCTATGGAGTTGGTATTAGGCAAAATAAAGAAACTAGACAAAAATTCTGACGGAGTTACATCTTCACCAATATCTACACCTACAAATTCTCTTAAAACTACTAGACCTAAAAAGGATAAACATTTAACTAAACATAAACCAAGCGAGCTTTACTTATCAAGCTCAGACAGTGACAGTGATGAACCTAAACCAAGGCATACTCGAAAAGCGTCGTCTACTAGTAAGGTAAAAGAGTTAGGTGCCGAAGGTTTAGAAGAAAAGATTCCGAAAATTAAAGTTGATAAGCTGGATGGTAATAGCAAGAAGAGTGCATTTTCTAGCGCTAGAAAACCTCATTTAGACAATACTAAAAGCAAAGCAAAAGATATCAACAGCGATAGTAAAAAATTTCAAAGTAATGATATCGAAGATACGATCGCTATTAACTCTATTCGCGTCAATAGTGAAGACAGTTCTCCGGTAGTAGCTAAAACTGTTATCTCTGATACAAAGAGTGATGATTCTAAGATCAAAGCAAAAAATGTAGTCACTTATCTGAAAAATAGTATCAATAGAAATAGCACTAGCAGTAGTAGTAGTAGTAGTAGCGATAGTAGTAATAATAATAGTGAAAATGAAACCAATGAGGTTAAAGTGGCACAATCAAATCTTTCTACTCAGAAGGATCAGCAAAGTAAGCGGAACCTCATTGAATATAACAAATCTATAGATACTGATATCCAATCGAAATTGGTCAACGCTTCTACGAGAAATTATCAAGAAGTGACCTCACAACAAATTGATACAGAGAAAACCAATGTACGCCAGATCGACGATAATAAAACAACTTCAAAAGTGCCTTCCACAACTGAAGCTGTAGCAGTAATTAGAAATGATCTTCAGAAAGATGCAAATAAAAACAATGATCAGAAGAAAACTATTGTTACACCTACTGATGCCGAAAGTCTAAGTAACAATAAAATACATGACACCAATGTGTCTTCTAAATCAGTTCATATTGCCAAACATAAACCCTTAAGTGCTACAAATAGTGAAGATTCTATTAGTAAGACTCTTGAAAACTTAAATGTAAAAGATAATGATGTGTCTTTAACGGATGAATCAGAGTTTGCGTTTGACGACGAGCAATTTGACAACTTTGAAGAAACTACACAACCTTTTACACCAACAGCACTGATAGATATACCTGAGGGCAATGAAGATGAATCAGAAAGTATGGAAGAAGCCCAAGCTAAAAATAAAGTCCGCCTTTTCGTCGCACTGTATAACTACGACCCTGAAGTCATGTCACCTAATCCTTTAGATGTTGCTGAGGAAGAACTGCCGTTTAAACAAGGCGATATTATTAAGGTATTAAAGTATAAACAAAGAATGCGTTTTATACATGGTGCTATACCCGTATGTAGTGTAATCTCACACTGTATCGCCCTGTTTGTCAATTTATTAAATATTCTCTTTAAATTATTACTTCATGCTTTTTCGTTTGCTTTATAGATTTATGGTGATAAAGACGGCGATGGCTTTTATAAAGGTGAACTAAACAATCGCACTGGCTATGTACCTTGCAACATGGTGTGCGAAATACAGTATCCTGAAACACAAGTAACCGGAACAGAAAATACAGACCCTGACCCGAGTCAATCTTTGTCTAAAGACAAAGATCAAGAATTTATTGCAGATAGCGATATACCAACCGTTGATGTGGAATGTGAGTGTTTCTATTAGTTTATATTTCATGATCGTTATTTAAACACCATGTTTCCGTGCATATGTTACGGGCGTGTTACATGTTTAATATAAGTGAGTAGCAATATATAGTAATGTTTGGCAATGTAACGGATTACACTTATTTCACTATCTTTCGAATATATCAGTTACGATGACGAATGATGTGCAATTAAATGAAGAACAAGCAGCGGGTGCTGGTAACGATCAAAGCGCCAGCGATGATTCTTCATCATCATCATTCGATGAAGATAATGTTTCGTTTACATCAGCGAGGACGCAGGAAGTAAAATCTTACGCTGTTGCTTTATATGATTACGATCCGTATGTTTCGTCACCGAATGCGGACTCCGAGGTAAAAATATTAAATTTTACATCAATTTCCGGATACGAATGCTAAATCATTGAATAATAATTTATAAATGAATTAATTTTTTATAATTTTCATTTAAAAATCTTAATACTGTTTAGTTAGGTAATAACTACGCGTAACTCAAAAAATCTGCAATTTTCTTGATTTTAGATGGAACTTACATTCCATGCTGGCGATACTATTCGTATCCTAGGAAATATGGACGAAGATGGCTATTTTATGGTAAATTAATAGCTATCTTCTTTTAAGAAAGATATAGCATTGACATTTTTATCTCAAAAATTGTTATACTCTGATTACACTTAGCCGAAAGAGTCCTTCTGTGTAATTTATTTCCATAACATATTTATAATCATTATGAGAGGTTAGTAAGATGTATTGTTTACTCTTACTTATAGGGCGAATTAAATGATAAACGCGGCTTAGTTCCATCTAATTTTGTTAAATTAATCGAAAATTCCGCTGATGAAGGAAAAGAAAACGATAAATCAGAATATCCAGCTAAAGTAAGTTCTTTACGACATGAACGACATGTTTGCATTGATCTTATCGTAATGATTAAATCATAGTACCAAAATTGACGTATTTAAGTATCTTTTCTCATAGTAAAACAACTGTTAATAGTTCTACCCGTTTGTACCTTGGTACGTATGTGATTGCGTATATGACGTTTTCCAATTCATTCTTTATGTGTTGTATTTGGAATCAGGATGACGAAGGTGGACAACCTGCTAAAGAGAGTCGTTACCGAATGCCATCACAAGACAGCCAGTCTGAAGATGATCAAGAATTTATTGATAATGGAAATAATCGTAAAAAGAAAAAGAGTCCATTATCTGGGAAATTTTCTGGTAAGAAACTCATACAGAAAATTAGCAACAAGAAAGGAAAGAAAAAATAAGGAAGACCAGCTAAGAATTTGAAATTTTTTCGATATGCTTCACGCCTCGATGCCTCAAGATAAATGGCAAAATCAATGATTATTATTGCATATTTTCAGTTAATTTTTTATATTCGAATTACAGTTCATGCCGACAAAAAATCATTGAAAGTTATCATTTCTTTTTAATTAGTACATGCAAATACTTGCTCATCCTATTTTTACTTCATTTATCTATTGCCGTCATGTTGAAAGTGCTGTCGTCATTAGCTATGATATCAGCAAATCTACATAGAAAGCTATTGCGTAATATTCTCATAAATAATGTAAACAAGATAGAGAGCTCAAAGGTAGCAGCTTATTTTTACAACATGTATCATGTAAATACTTCTCGACGATACTAAAATATAAGTTCAAGAATGAAAGATAATTGTATAATAAATAAAGAATATTTGTGAAATATTTTCTTCAAGGTTTAATTATATTGTTTCTTGCCAACGATATCCGAACTCAACCTACACGTCAACTGACTAAGTATTATATTAATTAATTATAATAAATATGATTATATGTCACTGATGTGCAAAATCGATAGTAAAGTTTACCGTACTATTTTATACATGGTATTACTATATAAATGACTCTTAATTAAGTCGTTCTTGTAGCACACCCTCACTATCGATTTTGTACCTCAATAAATTATCTAATTTGCTTACTTATTAGACAAACCTCCAAAGTAAGGCTTAAAATCGATTGTACTGCCTCTTAGACTATAATTAGTTAATTATTATAATTATTTATCGTTTAAAACTGTTACACCAAAAATAGCAGTTATTCGTATCACTTCTCAAGAATCTGTCCTATAATTTATAATGTAAATAGCAGCAAATTACAATCAACATCCTCCTTATAGACGCACACTTTTGGCAGCTGATTAAATCCCAAAATATTAAGTTAAGAATGCCACTGTTAAATGCGACAAATTGATACGAAATTTTCTATCTATTGCAGTCCCTTCTAATGCAGATAATGGTAATTGTAGGACGTAGAGAAATTGAATAGTGTTAAATATTTTCTTCTCCTCGTTCTGTAGTAGCCCAAAATAACTAAAATCACTAATCTAAATATTTACCTAACATACAACTACCATGCTTCAGATATTGCAACTCCATTCCATTCGTCATCAAGCACAAATTAATTTTATCAACGCATTATATAGAAGTATGTAATCTTTATTTTATCTTCTATTTTATCGAAATTTTGGTATAACTCCTCCGACCGATATGTTGAGTACAATATTTTATATCTAGGTAATAAAACGTATGATTTTAACTTTTGTATTAATATGATCAATAGTGGTGACAGTAGTATAAAACAATATAATGCCATGAAATATATTATCAAGAGTGTATATGAATTTTCCTTACCAATTCCCCTTACTTTGTATAGGAATATCAAAATAAAAGCATAAATAACAATAAACATACAGCTGCACTCCAGATAGCGAGATAAGTGTATGTTACAGGCAGTAATCATCGTCACTACTGATCTGTAATCCTTGTAGTGCACTAAATTGAAATTATCAATTTGAGTTAATGTTACAGATTAGAATAAGAAACAATTTTTCTTGTTGATTTTATGAATTTTACAAGTAACGACTAAATCGACTCAGATAGAATGATAATAAACATTATAAGAGGATTAAGAATATGTACTTAGCATATATAAGTATTATAAACAGAAATAATTACAATAATCACAAGATATGCCTCAGATTTTATAGGAATTTCGAGCGTTAAAATATTCACCATTAAGGAGGAGCTACATTGTGGATGAGAAGTTAAATTAAAATCTTGTAACGCATTGCATGAATGGGATAAACTAGAAAACAAATGTTCTAGTTATACCATTACCATTCTTGTTCAGATACATAATAAAAACCAATAATTAATCGATTAGAAGTGAAGCATATCATGCTAACGACATTTTTTAATATGTGTAGATTAGAAGATGTACGTACGGATATTAACACTTGAAAAAACAGATACTGTTTATAGTCGTGATTGTGAATAATAAATTCATGCCATTAAATTAAGAATTGTGCTATTAGATTGGCTGAACCAAGAACAATGATAAAGCTATGAAATAGAGCCGAAATCCAAGTTAATTTTTTCTGCCTTTTCAATCTTATCATATGGCATAAACACGGTAATGTAAAGACATAGACCATACCACATATAGCACCGACAAATCTAGAAATTAACAATATAGAATGATATCCATTAGATAAAAATTGACTATTTGTTCACAAATTATTGAGAAAAATCTTCAGCAATTGCTTTAATATCCGTTCATTTAAGATTAAATTGCTGAATTTCTTACCTAATAATGACACCAACATTTGGATAGAAGATAGCGACAAGAATGCATAATCCAATTAAGAATACATTGAAGATCAATATGTGCTTGTAGCTAGTCAGGTAAAATGGAAAGGATTATACTGTAGGTTACTAATACGAAATAGCGTAATAATGGAGATGCAGATAACTTTTACTGTAATCAATAAGCAGATTGGTGTTATTTTATGCAATATAAAGAGTAAAATTCCTGAGATATACCTAGGATGAGCGCTCTTGTAAACAAGATAGTAAACTTGAGACCGCAAAAGATACGCAATCAACGGAAAAACAACCATAATTTGAAAAAGCAAAGCCGCACGTGCAATAAAGGCTGTCGAATCATTTGAGATAAAATTATCCAAGAAGATCTGCAAGAGTAAAATTGTTCAAAGTCTTATTCTAATATCTTGTAATAAAGTAGTATTTATCAACTTTATCATTTATAAATATACAATTAGAGGCATCTAGAATGAAATTTATAACTATGATACAAAGACAATTCGAAAGTTCTCAGTTTCTTACCGCAGTTATGCAAGATTTAGCGTACGGAAAGGTTAAATAGAACGTTACTCCCATTATTAAGTACGTGCATAAAGCAGCTACGTAAGCAAATCCAAGATCGCGCATCTAGTTTATTAAAACGATACAAAATAATTTTTGATATGAGTGGATCTTCAAGGTATTGAATTAACAAATATAAAATAATTAAGGAGAAGAAAATATTTACGCCTTACATTATTTTCCGGTTTTTCTTGATTTCTTAGAATTGTTAAAAGGATATTGTGCAAGAAAAAGGCTAGGTTTAACATTCCCGTTAGCGAAGGAAAATCAATGTTGATTTCTATTTAAATAAATTTAGAGATGAAGTAATTGCAAGAGTAATTAGTTAGAAGTAAAGCAGAAGCAATTTAACAATTAAAGATCTATCAATCCATTAGTACGAGATGAATAACAAAATGGTTTAATAAACTAACGTGGAGCATAATGGATTGAACTTTCATCTTGGAAATTCGTATTAAAGCCGAGGAAGTAGGCTTTAATACAAACAAAGAATATTAAGTAGAGGCATGAAACGGTGCCTATGAAATAAGAAGAAATTATGATAACTTTTAGTAGCATGAATGTAGTGTCAATTTATGAGTATTTTTTCCAAATTGTAGTAATTAAATTGATTAAATGGAATATGTTGAACAATGCAAAATAATGGCGCCAGATAATGCAAGAATTTACAATCATTAGATGCTAAAGTTATTAATTTTACCTAAAGAAGTAAATTTGGTAAAAAATGTTGGTGACTTCATACAGCATAGAGGAAATAGGATTAGCCCTAAAAAGAGCGGAACTGTTCTCGTTCTATCCCATAGTTGATAATATAAAGTGTTCTCGGCAGAGAAATTGCTATAGTTCATATCGTCCATGCCAAAAGATGCAGGACAAAACGTACCAACCGTAACTACAAATAGGTCATAATCGTCAGTGTAGCAACTACAAATCTACGGTTTCGTCAATAGTCTACCTATTTATCGATCAATGATGCTATAAAGACAATAGTAGCACTTATCCTAGTGTATAATATCGCGTAACTATAAGAAAATTCACTGTAGTTCGTTAAGAAATTATTTTCCATGTTAAGTCTCTAAAATGTCCTCGAATAGCGATTAAATAGTAAATAAAATGTTTCATATTTACTATCTATGAAACTTACTACTAGCATTGACGGGTATTTCGATTTTCGACGCGGCGTCTAAATAAATATATAATTTAAAGGAAATCGTCAGATAGAGATCTATTCAGTATTTGCTATTACATAAACAACTATAATAACAGAATTAGAGAATTTTACAGCTATCAACGCAGAGTTTCTGGATTAGTTTATTTAGGTAATGTTGTATTTATCATTACATATATCTTGGTATACTGTATACTAGGTATATGTTACTAGAAAGAGCGAGATTACTTCGCTGTTTATTCCAGTAAAAAAAAATACAGAATAAGAATGATAGATTACTTACTGTAAATATAGTGGACAAAATTAAAGAGGAAATTACTCATGAATATCCAATATACGACAGATGCACCAATAAGGACAATAATAGAAAAGAAAGCAGCGGTAAATTGGCCCCATCGGCCTAATAGCTGATGGCAAATATCGATAAATTCTATACTTTGCTTCTTGCGGCCTAATAGGTATACAAGCGCAATGAGTTAATACATAAAATAGAATATATCTGTATGAACTCAAACGCATATCTTGTAATTTACTAAGTCTAGATTAACAACTAGTACACTAAAATCGATAGAATAAAAAAATTACTAATTTTATATCTTACGTTTTGGTTTTATACCGGCTTCTAATTCACGGGCAATTGCAGTTAACTCTTTCATATTATTTTCTTGCTCTAATATTAAAAGATTAAAAAAGACTTCATTTCATCATTGCATAAATTCTGATAAAAGCAATATCTGGTTATCAAAATGCGATTATATTGTACACTGTTTGAGCAAATAGAAGCTCTATACTGTACCTAAGTATATTGCGTCCTGGAGTATAAGAGAACACGTATAGTATGATAGGATGGCCATAAAAACGGTTAAAGCAATACCAAGCCCAAAACCAGCCTAAAATGAACCAAAATAACATCTTATAAAGTATCCCATAGATATTCAGTAAATCATAAATTACTATATTCAAATATATTGCAAAATTACATTGGAATTACTAATTGAGGTTATAAATGCATTCCTTTCAGATTTAACTCAGATTTCTGAGAATGTTTAGAGTATTTTACCTGACTTATACCCCAAGCTAAAGCTAAAAGGGACGTGCCCATCATAGTATTCCATAATGAGAAACTGTTTGAAAAAGCAAACAAATAACGGAAATGATTAGATTGGTAAGCGTATAAAATAACTCTAAATGATTAACGTATAATTCAGTAATTATTACTAGCTAGTCCATACTTACACTGTCACCGCACTGCTTTGCTTTCCTTTACGTTTCACCAACATAAACAAATTTGTTGGTACAAAGTCTTCCTGCATTTCATCTTGCTATTAATATAAATAATAGTTAAATACATGACAACATCAGATATTGGCGCTATAGTAACAGCAACAAATTCTAGTATCATAACAAATATGCTGGTTCTTCCATTCTATTAAGAACTTTATTGATATATAGTACGAGATAATTGAAGTATTCATCGTGTAATAGCAGCGTACATGACTAGTACAGTATGCGCTATCTAGTGTTGTTTATTAAACATGCTTCCATGCTGCTTTACGAGGTAACCGAGGTTAACTTCGACCTTCAACAGAAATGGACTTTCATTGATACACATGGTTAGGGTTAGGGTTGAAATTGCAGTAGCGCCTCGTAGTTGTGGATGAACTTTGTTGAATTGAACGCAATTAATTTATTAATTGTCTACCGGAATCGCTCACTGTTATTGCATTAGGCTATCCATTTATTCAACATCATTTCAATGGATTTATCCGACTATACTGTATAATGGAAGTGATTGTGGATATAAACTAATAAAGTAATATCGTATCGTATGATTCTAGGCCGTAATTTGGCGAGTCTTATGATACCATTAGAAAGGACTAGTGTTGTGGAATGGCAGGTAGTTTGTTTTCTCGTAGTGCATTATTGTTGCAATCTTAGTATTATTGGAACTCATCAACACCTAGGATTTTGACAAGTCTTCTGATACAGTTGGAAAGGGTTAGCATACAAGTATTGGTTGAGCTTTACTTCACTATTTTTGCATCTATAGACAGCTGTAGTAGCGTCATGTTGTAATCTTAGTATTATGATATAGTTGGAAAGGGTTAGCGTCTAGGTTTTTTGTTTAGCTTTCCTTGGCTATTTTTGCAACTCCAGACAGCTGTAGTAGCGGCATGTTGCAATGTTATTATCGTTGGGAACAATCGATACCCGTGATTTTGCCGAGTCTTCAGATAGAATTGAAATCAGTTTGCGTAGTAGAATTACAAGTATTTATTTAGTTTTACAGCATTATTTTTGCAGCTGTAGACAGCTGTAGTAGCACCATCTTGCAATCTTGGTACTGAGATGAACTGTGGTTACTATAGCAATAACCAATGGCTGGCTATCTTGTGTATTGAACAGTGATTGAGGGATAGGGTCTGGTATGGTGTCACGGTTAATAAGCCAGTGGGTTGACCTTTGCGAAAGCTGACCCGAACGTTGAGTGAACCCACATGCGCTACATGCATGGCGTGCACACGACCATGTGTACCAAACACGACAGATCATCCAGTGTACGTACTGTACTCTACAGTGTACTGTACTGTACAGTAGAAATGAACTTTACAGTACTATACTGTACTGTACAGTACTGTGCAGTGTACTGTAGAGTAGAAATGAACTTTACAGTCTTTACTCTACAGTACATTAGAAATGAACTTTACTATACCGTGCAGTGTACTGTACAGTAGAAATCAACTTTACAGTACTGTACTGTGCAGTATACGAAGTAGGGGCCCAGGTTTCCTGGGTGTATGTGCATTGAGCCATCGTGCATTATTACCGTATATTGATTCATTTTCCTCCTTTCTGAAATCAATTCCAATGGAAAATGCTTGCGACATACAGTAGACTACCGAAAGTCTTCTCTAGTATCATAGTAGCTCATGCCAGCAATCAGCTGCAGCATATCAGCCTAAAGCATTTTCCATTCAACACCTCCAACCCGCCAAGCAGAAAAACACCTCATCAAAACACGTCCATGCGCAGTGACTTGAGTCTACCAGCTAGACCAATACTACAGTACTACACTGTACAGTCCACTAGTGTGCAAAGCACAGTACAAAGTATTGTAAAAGTTCAGCACTGGATGATTCATAGTGACCTTGTAAAGGGAAAAAAAGAAAATGATTCGGGACCAAGGTCCATGATGGTGGCGATCAATGAAAGGAGGGTAGTGGCTTGTTTGCTTGTTAAGCGCTATATTCATATCATATCAACTGTCTAAATGGTACATTTAGTATCGAGTCCAAAGTCAAAGAGGCAACGGTTAATGGTCAAAGCGCAAAGGTGATGTAATCCTATCCCTATTTGACTCCAAAATGGCTGATTACACAAAGTGATGGTGCAATGAGCATCAACTCAGTAGCAATTTTGAACCGAAATGAATTCAAGTTGACGTAGAGGACTGTGTGCGATAATGCACAAAGTCAATTGAAAAATTACTGATAATGAATTCAAATTAGAATACAGCATTAATATACTCAAGGTCTATTCTTAATTATTATCACTTAAAAAAATGCTTTTACTAGATTAAATAAAAACAAAAACAAGGTAGTTATCTTAAAAGCATGCTAAATTCATTTGCTTTATCCCTCCAAAAGAACCAAAAATGGATAGCAATGAGCGGGTTTTAGTGTACAGCAAACGGTGGAAACTCGGAAATAAGGGAAAATTCGCTTGAAGTCCTCGCAAAACGTCGACTAAGAAGAATGTATCAATGCAAGCCTGACCAATTTAACGCCGTTGGCAAAATCTCCCTCAAAATGATATAGTAGACTGAGTATGTAAACTTGTACGCTGTGCATCACGATCACCATTTCGGTAGTTAATTAAATAAACAAACGTGCTATTTTGTATAATTTATCATCAAATCTTGAATACAGTACTGCACATGGTTGATACAATACACGACGTATGAAATCCTGTACTGTAAGGAATGTTGAGCGCGGAAAGCATCCTTAGTGATTTAGCCTTGCATTTATGAAGAAATGTTGATTATTTATGGAATTCATATTTAGTGAGTGTATCCTACTGTCAACGCTTTAGCGAACGCAAGCGGTGGTATGAAATTAATTTCGTAATCAACAGTAAAGCTACTCGAGCATGTCTAGTCTACCCACGATCATCAGCTTTGTTCATTGTAGATTCAATAAAGAATATTTTCTCGAGTAGTCTATATCAATTGTACTACCATGAAGTGATATAGAATATTTAAACCAATTCAAACCTCAAAAGAGTACATCTACATTGCTATTATTTGAAGCCATACGATGAACGGGCATAATTAACAGTCGATTATATGAATTTGGAATTTTGAATAGTGTGTAAGCAGCGATCGTTGACAATGACCTGAATAAATTGCCGCATTTTAAAAGTACATAACTCATTTGCAAATGCCTTGCTATCGGAAATGATCTATACTACGTACGAAAGGTAAGATGTTAAAACTGATTGACGACTATGCATCAGTTAGAACAACATGGCGTCAACACTTCACTTCTTGATTGTCGACAAATTTCAGCATCGACAAGCAAGAATTTTAAATTCGTAGATCATGCCGGTCAACATTTATCCGTCCATTTATGCTCGGATGATGATTGCAATAAGAGATTGACAGATTTGCGAATACTTTCCATCGTCTCCTATAAACTATCATCATTGCTATTACGATGGACGAGTTGATACAGAGTCTTGCTCTACGTACAAGACCAAAACGTTATTTCGCTTGACATGACAGTACACCCAAAAGTTCATTTTAAGGGCGATAAAAGAAAAAAATGTATAAAAATGTTGAAAACGATGAATGAATTCACCTTGTTGACGAAGGGAGATATACCGATATGTAAACCGAGTTATAAGTGTATAAAACTGGGAAAGCTTTGTTCGCTTTTTCCCCATTCCTCCATGGTGTGGAATATCAGGAAATATTTTACATTTATCCTCGCTACTGTACTCACCTTATCCAGGAAATGCTGATAAATGAGCCACATTAACATCTTTGCCGGCAATTTTTTTCTTGATCAAGGCGAAATGTAAAAGTCCCTTCAACAGTACAACTATATCGAGCAGTACTCTTTTTTATCGACAGTACAGTATATATATAATCTAGATAGGATGACTGATAAAATGATATGCTAATTTAGTGTACCTTGACTTATAACCAAAGACGTCCCATAAAACCTAGCTGAAATGAAACTTTTAACCTACTAAACCAGGAGGGAAAAATCATTATGCAATCGATGCCGCCGATGAATTATTTTTTTTTCCATGACGTAACTAGGTGAAATAAATCTCTAGCCAATCATAACTCGAGTTGGCGATCATGTCCAGCCCCATTCATCGGGGCCCGATGAGATCGATGCCAAGTTGCAAGGGGCGAGATTATCCTGCCATACGATTCTATAATTATTACAGTCATACACGATACAGTAGAGTAGCGTTACACCACAATAGAAGAAGAAAAAAGCCTTGAGCAATATTTTCAGGTAGCAACGGTTGTCTCATACGAAATGATAGTATAATGCTCTATTCGTGGCAAAACAGTATAGGCAACACTATACGATCCGAACGAGAAAATAGCTTGTAGACAACCTGATTTAACCTAGGTCAATGCCATAAAAGAACCATTTTTTTTTACCCTTCTGCTTGCTCCTCTGTATATACTTTGCCTCTGTTATTGATTATTATTATTATAGCATAGTTTATAATGTTGATGTGGAGCTGTCATGGATATTATTGATATTGCTCACGTTATTTCAACCACAATTTATATCACCTTTGAAGAAAATTTGTATTGATTTAAGAAGGGAATATTGACAGCATTGATGAATGGAGGACAATGCTTCTTCTTGCGAATAGCGATAGATATTGTCGGTCTTTACTCACTTTTATCCACCCTTTAGTGAAGATGAGCAACAATATTGTACTATACAATAACCTATATATCATTTGCTTCTATTATTGATAATTATGTTCATTTGAATGATTGATTACAGAGAACAATAGTTCACTTTGAGTAGCACGAGAATCATTGCCATGTCCTACGCTAGTATTGGAACTGGCTTGCTCAAGTATTCA